AATAATGAAATATGAAAGTGATCAAGGGAAGGGACAAATATAGAAAATATCCAATTATTGATTCTGGTTCTGACCTAATTTTTAGAAAAGTCTGATCTGTGAACAGCAAAATAATGAGTACTAACCCTAAAACCAACTTAACAAGAGTAGACTATGAGCTTGCAATCAGCACACCTGATGTTAAAAAAATTCTCCCCAATGACATGTTTGCAATCAATTAATAAACCACCGTAGCAAACTGTACACATGTGGAAGAGGAGCTATGCTCATTTCACTACTGAATAGTGAATGGCATCAGGGCAGCTAATAAAATGCTTCACTTTTGCAGGTATCTTAACCACTGTCTTGGTAACTCAAGATCACTAAATGTATAATGCATTGTCTCATATTTTATATATGTGTGGCCCAGATGATGTCATCCCAACTTTGAGCAATTTCCACAACTGACATAGTCAGTGACTGATGCAGAGGGATTGTAGAGGTCAATGGTTAAGAAGTTATAATGGAGAAAAAGAGATTTACCCTTCTGTTACAACAGAAGTTCTAAAAAATTGGATTTAAACAAAACATATGAATAAACAAAACAAAAAGTCCCATACATATAGAGAACAAGTTGGTGGTTACTGTAATGAAAACATGCTACATTTGTTATATTGAGTAGTCCCTTCTTCTTATGCTATAAACTTTGTTTGATTAAAACCACAATTATCACTAAAGCATAATTCAACTTGGTACCTGAATTAAGGTATCATTAAGTTTTTAGGAAAAGGTAGCCTTATCTATGAAATTTTAAACTTCAGAAATCAAAGGTACAGAAGTATCAACTATACAATTAACCCAGAACAACTGTAGAAATTAGAACGGGAAGGAGGTTTATTAATGGCTCTAGTGATATCAAGGCAAGATAAGAATGCAGTAGCTTGACAGAACATGTATTGTTATCTAAGAGCAAAGAAAAGTACTTTTCAGTTTGTTTTCCTAACACAAAACTATAGGGTTCTACAAAAAGTAATTATAACACTATGGTTTGCTTGGCTACATTTGCACTTAATGGACATGAGGTGAAAAGATGAAATTTGGAATGAAAATGCCATAATCTCAGTCAACTCCTGATTATCTACATTAATGAGAAAAGGGGTTATCTTAAGTAATTCAGAACAATGGATGGAGAGTTCTCAAATTACTGTTAATATCTGATGAATCTTTTCCCTTCTTAGTCTGTCCTTTAAAGGTTTAGACTCTAGTTTTTTGAGGTCCAAAACTGGCCATCAATATGACCGACCATTTTCAAAGTAAATGATCCATCCATAGATAATGGAGTTGACATGACTGACATATTCCAATCAATAAACTGCACACGGACACTGCATGCCGAGCATGCTTCAGAGTAATTTCTGAAACTGTGTAAGAATGAGAGATGACTGACACTTCCTAACAAAAGCAAAACATGCTAGTGTCTGGAGAACTCCCAGCTTACCTCCTGCAGCAGATCGGCCTGCTCAATTGCCTTAAGGACATTTTTCTTAGATGTTTCCTGAACTTCCCCTCCCAAAAGAAACTCATCCAAAATAAAATAAGCCTTCTCGAAATTAAAGATGATATCAAGCTCACACACCTGAAAAACAAAACAAACAAAAAATTATAATAAAGCAAAAGATAAGTATAGAGAATAAAATCTGACCAGAGTGAATCCATCTAAGTTCTTTCTAAAAATGGCAATCTTGTTAACTAAGCATCATTGATTTAGTCAGTTTAATTTTCAAATCTCAAGTACTTGAAAACACAATGCCTACATGCTAAGTCAGACCAACTCTGCATGGGCAACTTTTCTACTCATAAAAGCTGATCTTTGAAAATACCCATTTCCTGAGTAATGTGATTATAACTGCCAACAAAATCTAAATTCTTCACTAAGCACTTCTATATATTACTCTTTGCAGTTGGACTCCTTTCTATTTCACTATTTTAAACCTCATTCTTACCATCATAATTAAATGAGTAGGTCTGTGGGGTCAAGCAATTTTGGCAGTTAACTGATTGACTAGGCACACTGACAAAAAAGAGTCTTTCTTTCTCTCTCCCACAGTTACTTTCAAAGAATCAGAATCCCCAAGACAATCAAACTTGTTATAGAAAAGATTAAAGAAATAAAACTATGGCATTCAATTCCTTAAAACAAAATGCTACTCACACTGCCAAAATACTTGTCAAGTAATTCCACGTAACGATGAATTATTTCCAGGGTAATTAGCTCATTGTCCTGATCCTCAATAGCACAGCAAAAATACAGACTAGCGTATCTGTAACAAAAACAAATGTGAAAAAAAATTTACCCTATAATCATGGTTCCTAAATATATTTTCATATCCTATTGTGAAAGACCCCATGTTTATACAGCTTATTTCCTCTTTTACAATAGTACAGATTAGTTTTTTCCTAGATTACAAATGCAATAAATGCCTAAGAGAAAATCTGAAAAGTATAGGCAAGCAAAAAAGAAAATAATAATAATCATTCAATCACACAATCTAGAAAGAGTATTTTGCTCTTCTGCCTTTCAGGCTCCTTTCTATGTAGATACTAAAACATAACTGACCCAGGTTGTTCTGAAGTGAAATTAATTTTAAAACAAAATGCACTTCATGACTAATTCAAACTACAAGTAAACAGGAAAAAATATAAACTCTCCAACTGAAGGACTTACTGATATTGAAGGTATTGTCAATGTGAAAACAATGTTCTGGAATGTTTTATTAAAGTGTAATATACACCGAGAGAAGAACCCAAGTCATAAATGTATAGCTTAATGAGTTTTCAAAGTGAACCTGCCCGTGTACCAGCGCCCAGATCAAGAAACAGATTACTGAACCCCGTCTCCTAGCCTCTCCAGGTCACAATCTCCAACCCTCATGGGTAACTACCATCTTGGCTTCTAACAGCATAAATTATTTTTAAAAAGGAAGTTTCTAGGATTGTGCAATAAACCCCAAGAAAAGAACAACAGTTCCAAGTTATTATAGAAGTTAGACAAAAAGAAGAGGAAACTGAGACCTCGCCTCAATTTTTCCAAGTTCTACCCTGTTGAATTGAAGTCTAGGTTATTCTCCCTTGAAGGAATAAGGTTGATAAACTCATATTCTCCTCCAAATTAGCATTTTAATGGTTATACTTAACCGAAGAAAGCCAAAACTTATTAACATACAATCCTTCAAGGCATATCAAATGACCAAGTCCTTTGAGGAGGATTAAAAGAGCATTTTCAAATGGTTTAAGTGTATTTAAGGGCTTTACAAAAAAACAAACCTAAGACATTCTGAACAAATTTCAGTTGAGATTGTGATTTTCGCTGAGTAGCATTTAAGTGATTTTTAGAAAACACAATGGGCAATTTACTGCTCAAAGCAGTAATGCAAATATATAAATGAGCACAATCTCCATTCAATGAATTCCTGCTCTTCAGCGTGAGAATAACTATTTACATAACAACCTACTAATTTCAATATTATCAAAAACATCTCATCTTACTTGATCTTTCCAACAGCAAGCATCATCATCGATTACAGAAGACAAAAAAAAAAAAAAAGTCCAAGAATACAGGACCTGATAAATGGTTGTACTGGAACAAGAAATCTGATCTTCAGACCTTAACTCCAGGCACTTTTCCATCTACCACACCAACATCCCTTGTCATACACGGCATGACTTTTTGCCATATTCATTCTACCTGACTTCTACATCTAGTCATTTATTTAAAACAGGGTAGGAGGCATTTGAATGTGTTCATTTATTATCAAGAAGAACATAAGAGGGCACCACCTCCAACTTGAACAAAGAAGCTTCTCCCTCTTTTCCCCCAGCACTAACCTGTGTTTGTTTATCTGTTTAAAATGCAATGGGATATTATAACTCTCCATCCTCCTGAATCCATGCTCACCAAATAGAGTTTTGAATTTGGGGAAGTTGATACAAAAGACACATTAAGATGCTCTGACTTAAGAAAACTAAAGATTAAAGGAACTGATACTAAAAATGCTAGATTGAAAACCAGACATAACTAGCTAACATGAACAGAGTGCTAAATGATTCCATTAGAATTTACTACTAGTTTCGGGTAAAATTTTTAATTATAAGATTTTTTAACTTAAATCAGTCTAATTTAAGCTTAAAAATATACATTTTTGCCCCCCCACCACCACCACCAGGATGCAAAAATCAACAGTGACAGTGCAATATTTAAGTTAATACAATGGAAGTATTTGCCCAAAAGAACTTTTAAAACTAAATTTCATCTGGTAATACCCTACAGCTACCAATATGTTAACAGTTGATAGGAATTCAAAACAAAACAAATCCAAATCAAATCCACAACTAACTGAAGTTTTCATTGTATTCAGTTGCGAATAAAATAGCAGCCATTGTTTTACACAATGTACTAATGGTATCAACTTCATTAGAAATAATCTGTCTAGTTTGTGGATAATAAGAACAGTTACCTTCTGTTGAAAGGATGTGAGCTTTTCAAACTTAGTTCTTTTTCATTTGTCATAATCTCCCAATAAAATAAACAGCTCCAGCTCCCTATGTGACCATGTCTTCCATGAAGCCATTATATAGCCACTTACAGGTATAATCTTTAGAACATTCTGTAGTTTCAAAGGCGTTTAAAGTCTCAAGAATGCATAGTTGTTATTTTTGTTTCTTCCTTTTGTCTTGTTTGCTTCAATATATCCATTGCATCAAATGGACTCAATGAAAAGATTTTTTTCAATGTTACTGTTACGTAATCTAATGTTTGCACAGTCCTTGCTCCATAAACACCGTATTGCCTCTTTACTTACAAATCAACAGCATTTTAACACTAGTCAATTCTAAATATTTACTTCTAATATTTCTAAAATATTAATTTAAATATCACCAGACGGATGTGTCTTAAGCACCAACCAGTAATATTAAACACAAACACACACACACAAAAAAAACCACCTCCACAACACATTATCTAATGTTTGCTCTTGCTCAGAAGGTAAAAGAGCAACCAAATTAAATGAATTCTTTATTGTAGGTGAGCATCTAGTTATCAGGATTATAAGAAGGTACTTCTTTCCAGAAAGCTTACGGGAGAAAGAGAAACGTAATAATAACGGGTAACATTCATTGAGTCCTCATATTTTACCATTTTAATCCTCACAAAAACCCTTCCAGAGATACCATTATTACTTTTATTACTTGCATTTAAGAGACCCAGGCTTAATTGAGCAACCTCCCCAGGAACAGTGATTTGACTCCAGAGCCCAAGTTTTATATTAAAAACTATAGCCAGGAAGTGTATTAAATAAAGTAACCCAGCACCTGGCAAAAATTAAGACATATTCAGAGCAATATTTTAACAGATTTGAAGAGAGATCAAAATTGCTATAGTGATTTAGTAAAAGATTACTAAGAGAACCTGAAGTATACTCCCTATTTTTAGAAATGGCTTTAAAAAATTGAACAATGAGCTCATTTTTTCTCTTAGTGAATATTTGTAAGTCTGAATCTGAAGTAAAATTAATAATAGACTAGTAAGAAGAAACGTATGTTTAGTTATTTTTGGCGAGTGGATTAAGGCTTACTCCAATTACTGGCACTCAGAGAGCATCTGAAAGTGCCTATTCTTACATTCAAAACACATGACTTCTCCGCAGTCAGCTAAATATCAGCTGATGGTGGGTGAATGTAACTAAATAAACTGTTCTCGGTACCCACGGTGTCATTAAAATTCTTTTGTTAGTAAAGAAAATCAATACAGTGCTCTTCGAGGAATTCTCAAGTTAGTAATTTGGAGACGCATTATTTTTTAATTTTAAGACTTTAATCCAGTGCCTCTTCCATAACATGCTGCACAAAATAGGAATTTAAAAAAGCATAGTGTTCTGTCTTCAAAAGATCTCACGAGCATTTATTATAGAGATGAGGAAACGAAGGCCAAAGACTGGTTCAAAGTCACAAAACTGGCTAAAGGCACAAGCGGAATAGAACTCAAGCCCCCAGACTTTCAGTAGATTTTTTCAGCTATACTAATTTTATCCTTAACTTCTTTCCCACCGCTCCCTCCCGACAGGGAGAATTGTTATGCAAAATGCTGAGAAGGGATAAAGTGGAGGAGACTACTTGAGGAAGGAAGACAGACAGCTAAGTGCTAGTTCAGAATTTCTCTGGAGCTAAGTGGTAATTCTTTTGCCTGAAAGGTCTTCTCTTCCAGCTGGACTAGGGACAAATAATCACCTGTTTATGTGAACCAATAAATATGTCCTTAGTACAATAGGTGTTTTCAGTATGCATAGAAAAAACGGATTAAATTTAACTTTTGTATGTACATTTTATCTTGATAAAGCCTTAAGTGCAACTTTTATTTATAGGAGCTTGATGCAAGTATCAGAGTCAGGTTACATTTCCCTTTATAGCCTTTAAAAGAAACGTCAGTGGCTCAACATGGGTAGGCTGAATACTGCATGTAAGTACACCAACTAGTGCTTTTCATCCTTGTTTAACAGGCCATTTCCTTCCGCTGCAGGAATCTCCATTCCTGGGATTCATTCCCTTGCTGGTATTTTCCTCCTCCACACGGGGGACTCCTTCCCCTATCTAGAAATAAGCTTAAGTCTCACATCTTTTTAAAAATCCTGTCCCCCACTCCTATGTCTGTGGTTGGTTACCACCTCTTCTGTCCTTCAGAGCAAAGCTCCCCAAATAATCTATACTTACTGTTTAAATGTCTTCACCTCTTCACCCCATTTTTTGGAGAGTTCTGTCTCTTGTATTCCATTGAAAATGTTCCCACAAAGGGCATTGTATGAAATGCTCACTGTAAAATCTAAGTCTTTCTTTACTGTAATTGAACTTTATGCAACATTTGGCACCAGTGACTCTCTCCTCTTCACCATGTTACTGACCCTATGCTTACCCTCTCCCCCTTTTCCTCCTACTTGAATGTTGGTGATCTAACACATTATGCCGAATTACCCCCCAGACTTCCATGCCTATGCCTACTCCAAGAAAACTAGGCATCTGCAAATGGGAGTCACACAGGCATCTCAAAGTCAACTTATCTACCACCTCACCATTCAGCCTGTCAGTGGAACCAGAAATGTGGAATCCCTCCATTTCCCCCCTTCTTTCACTGCCCTCCCACCGTCTAGCAGTGACCAAGTCTTATTAAATTTACCTGGGTAACAGCTCTTTCCACCTGCTGAGCACACAGCAAGAGGTCTTCTTTCAGGGACTCATTATAATTCGGTCTCCAAACAGATCTCCCCTCAGATTCCAGTCTCAGTCCTTCCCCCCACCCCATTCTCCGATTACGAAGAGCAAATCTTTTTTGATCACTGGTCAAATCCTTTGCCTCCAAGCTTAAGATTTGAGCTGTAGCCCCTATGTCAGTCACTAACTAGCATATGACCTTGGACAAGTCACTTCCCCCAAATCCTCATTTAAAAAAAATAAAATTGAAGTTTGATCAACAGTAGTAGTTTTCAAACTCAGGAACTATCTATACAGAGGGTAGAGGCCAAGTGAGCAGGGGTACAGGATCCCAGTCTTTATTCCACAAGAGCACCTCCACTTCCATTTGTTTCATTTAAGGTTCTATCCTTGGGGCAAAAAGCTTTTTCTTTAATCATATGAAAAGTAATATAATTTATATGTCAAGTTACCTCAATTTAAAAAAATCACTTAACTAGATATTCTAAGACATTTCCCAGCTCTAAAATGCTATGACTTTTCTCAACAAGTAGTAAATCGAACACTGAATATAAAATCACCCAAAGATGACTAAATTCATTTTATTGGAGAAAGGGGTCTACAGTATTTTTCAAATTCTCAATGTCCTATAATCTCCCTTACTTCCTCCACTATTTCCCCCACAATATGTACCATCCACACTTGGAGTGGAATACAGGAAAGCTGCGATAAAACCCAGGTTTCTCTTCAACCCTCCTCGTAGTCCATATTGTTAGTTCTCTACACATCCCCCATAGAAGAGAATTTTTCACATGCAGCAACCCTTGTATCTTAAAAACAGTAAATTATTCCTAAGGGTAAAGAAATAGGGGGGAAAAACAAAATAATTATATTTATTTTAATATGATTAGAACAATCTTGAGAAATTTATTTTCATATACTTAGAATTTCAGCTGCTAATAAAAATATATGCATTTTTTAAAAAGATAAGTGTTAAAAAAATTTTTACTCTATTCTTGGCAAAATTATCAGATCTAATCACACCTCTACCACAGCAACAAGTATACATCAAATCAATAAACACTACTAATAGATCCTGTATATACACAAAATTTTTAAACATTTATAGGACTCGAATGGTCTATGTACTCAAGGTGTTTAAAAATGAATAAGATTCTAAAAGTCAGATGAAAGGCATGTCAATTATCAGTCTTTATAGATAGAAGAGGGAGAAAATGCTTATCTAAATTCAGAGAATTACTCACAATTTAAAATACTGATTCTATTTCCCCCTGCAAAGGGATGAATTCATTGAATTTTTCTAAAAAAGATGATTAAGACTTTAATTATATAATTAGTTTTAAAACAACTTCCCTGATTTTATCATGTTAGCCTGGGTAATAAAAACAAGTTATTTTTTTAAAAAATACAAAGCTTTAACTTAAAACCTTTTTCATCTAAATCTTTGTTAATTGTTCTCTCTCAAAAGTCTGCAATTTCCAGATTACAAATGACCAACGTTTGATTCTGCTTTCCCCTTTCTGAAAAATAAAAATTATACCTCTTGTAAACAATCTTCAGATCTCGCCACTCAAGAAAGCTGCACATTTTAGGCTTCCGTGCTAAAACGGTTTGAACAAGTTCTCTTGTGATCTTTTTCTTCTCTTTGTCTGATAGTGGGACATACCATTTCTGCAGCCGAAGCTTTCCCTGACGACTAAAAAGCAACATAAACTGCATCTGTTAAGATAAATAGAATCAAAATTACATGCAATACTTTGATTCAATAAAGTTAAGATTAAGATGACATGTTTCACAGAGAAGCTTGGTGGACAGGGAGTTTAACTGATGAATGATTAGTAGCCATCAATATTTCTATGCCAGTTAAAATAGCCAGAAATTCTTGTAGAAATATATTCCCACCAGATGCAGAGCTCCCCACCCCACCCTGTTCCACTTAGTTTTGGAGTCTGCAGAACAAAAAGAAAAACAGGCATTAAGTTGAAGTGAAAATTTTGTGGTAGAAGAAAGACAATTCTTGCAATTTACGAAACTATTGTCTATCTGTGCTATACATTACACACTCTCTATATGCATCAAAAGAGAACTGTTAACATCAACTGGGTTAGGTACATTTGAAAGAAACAGAAGACCTACTATTTTTCACCCTTAGGCTGTTCTTGTTCCAGGATGAATTACTTGTAGGCAGGCTGCTATCACTTAGAATGCTTTCTTCAGTTTATGCTTACATATTTTATTTTATTTATTTTTATTTTTCAATTACAGTTTACATTCAATATTATTTTTGTGCTTACATATTTTAAACAGATCTAAAATATTAACCCAAAATATCCCATAAACGCATGCTTTCCTTAATAAAAGCCTAATTTTATGTATCCCTTCTCATCTCACTTTTTAAAAATTCCAACATAAATATGCACACAATAAAGTGGTAATTATGAAAAAGAACATAAACCTTTGAAAAGCCCAAATAATGTACATTCAAAAACATTATACAAAATACTTCATTTAAAAATTTTTAAAATAGCATTTACAGATGGAGTGGATGTGAATTCCAGTGTATTTTACATATACTATGTTGTATATATTTATTTGGAATATGCAAATCTGTTGATTAGTCTACATGTTTAATTTTCAAGAAAAACTTCTTGTAATTCAACTGATCTTAAGTATAAACAAATAAGCATTGTTTCTACAAAGGTAATTTAAAGGTAGAATTCAGACAGGTATTTTTATTTAACTATTCTAAGTTCCTTTAATAGTGTTACTGCAAGTAAGATTCCAGTCTGATTCTTAATATTCGCCACACCATCTTGAATTTGAACATGGGGTGGGAGAATTTACACAACCAATTTAGAATAAAATGGGTCCTAAATTTTGCTCAGAAATTATTGTCGCTTTTTGTACTAATCCAAACACGCATCAGCAAGATACTTAGAAAGGTATGATGCAGCAATTTAACTTTATTAAAGTTAAAATTGGCTAACTGCGCCTCACTTAAAACATTTCACTGGCACAAAATTAACGAACAGTATTTGTGGTATCAAAGTGCCTCCCATTCGAGTCCTGTTAAGGTAGCGGCATCAACTGGACAACGTTTAATGCAAGCCCATTACCAGAACTTGGGAGAGAACAGACCGGTATTCCAGGATCTTGGTGGCCAGGAGGGGTGGGGGTTTGCTTGCGAACGGAGTAAAGGGCTTCAAGGCTGTCTGTACCAGGGTTCTATATCCCCCTCCCTAACACTTTATAGGACGAAGAAATAATTCACTCTTTAAAATAAATGATGTGCAGATACGGGACGAACAGCAAGACGCAACTATTTTCTCCCTCTTGTTAAAAACAATGCTTTGATTTTGCCGCCAAGCACAGGGGCACCTCAATTCCTCGAGACTGCTATGAAAAACAACGGGCTCGGCCACGGAGCAGGCTCGGGGCCAGCGGTCCTCTGTCCGGCCGCCTCCGATGCTTCCCCACGGGGCCGCACTCCATCACCAATCGCGCCCCGGCGAGGTGACAGGCAAGGAGAGAGGCAGACAATGGCA